AATTGTGTTATAAAAAATAAGTTCTAAAAATGGGGAAAAAAGCCATTACAAGCAGCTTCTGAAACTCTAAAAATATGAGCGTACCTTAGAAGCTGAAGTCAGATTCCCAGAATCTCTCTCTGCAGCAGCCTACATTAGCTCTTAATGCATTAAGCCTGTGCACATTACCCGACTCAGAACTAGCATAATCTCAAATCCCTATCTGGAATATCCTAAAAGAAGTATATTTACTGTAAGGTACAGAAAAGAGCAGAAATGGAGTTAGGCATTGATGACAACTACATCAAGGAAGCTAAATGCCAGTTCATCTAATATGGGAGGAGAAGGAGCGGCTCAACTCTCTGAAGTCTGTACCTTCATATAGTTTCACTTATCACACCCTAGCAGATACTCCCAGTTGTCAAGGAGAGAAAAAAAGAAAAAAGAAAAAAAAAGAAGATAACCAACACAGCATGGCAATGGCTGAAGAAAGCCACAAGGTTTCATTAAGTTTTGGTAAAATGGCTGCTTTTCTACCCAGTTTGAAGGCATGGTCCAGAACAGATACGGCTGTCACTGCCGACTGGGTTTGTCATTTATCAGCTGGGAGCGCTGCAGTTTGAATCCAGTGATTCCCAGTCAGAGGCTGCCCAAACTGGACTTGGTCACGTAGGAGCCGTTTGCTTGACATGCCACAGTTGCTTGACAGTGTACTTGATAAAACACAGAAGTTATTTCAAAACAAAGCTGCCTGGCTTTTCATTCTTGTTTTAAGCCTCACTGTTTCAAGACCAAAGAACAGCTCAAGCGTGACTGCACTAACACAAATAACAAACACGGCATGCAGAGGCAACAGGTTTACAAAGCGAGATTCTCAACTTACACTTGAGGTGCTCTCCTGCTCCAGCCAGGAGTTGATAGAAGATATGAAATGTCCGCTCGTCTTTAGCCTGACGAACAGCACGAGACTTTTCCAACAAGTCTGATTAGAACTAGTCAAGGATCTTCTACACTTTCTGGTTAAAAACGTCCAGTGCAAACAAAACTTTCGAAGTTAGCTACACAATTAATTTAAGACCAAACAGAACTTCAATAGCAATGACAGGACTATGTCCATTACGAACTTCCAGTAACTTTAAATGAGATTTCAAATTCAGACAGGTAGAAGCCCACATTTAATTCATAGCTGACTCTTAGTACCAAAAACCCAGTAGCAGCTGAACTCAGAAGTACTTTATCCGAAGTGCGTTTGTCATTTTTCTCAAGCACTGCATTTTTACGTACAATCTTCACTGCCTTTAAACAGCTTCAAAATTCAATTTGTACAGCAGATCATGTCTAATAAGCCGCCATAAGCTGTAGTTATTTAAGTTTTTATTTCTTGATATTCCATACTGTAAAACAAGTATGGGACAAGCATTTGAAGTGACACAGGTTACAAGCAAGGGTGAGTTCTTATGGCGAGGAAAAAACTCCTACAATTTAAGCCCTCCTGTTTACACAAAGCTCTAGGCAAAACAATTCATGTGAACTTTCAGAAAAGCAAAACCTGCCTTCATTCCTGTGCTGCGCCAAATGAAAACCATCATTTATCAGGAAAGCATAGTTTGCTTAACTATAGATCTTTCCTAGCCCTATTGAGAAATATTTTGTGACAGCTCCAAACATTCATTGCATTTAAAATTAAGCAGTTTAACTCACAGCAACAGAATGAAAGCTTAACGGCAGCATCATTTATGATTAATACTCACATGACACTGTTTACCAAGACTTCCGATTTCATAATTTCATGACTGCCCTATTGCTACTACCCCAGAAACCAGCCTAAACAGACTGAGAAAAAATTACACACATTCTTTTTAGTATAAAGAAAACAACTTTAGAAGGGATTTCAGTACAAATATTTTTACTTGTTCTTAGGCAATCCTAAATATAAAAGAACCTTAAAGCTAAAACTGAGTTAGGCTTCAGTATTAATTGCTAGTATGTCTTATTATTGAACAGGTATCTGGAAGACCGAAGAGAACAGAAGGTGTTCCAGCACTCCCAGCTCTATCGCTTCATAATGAGCATCACCTCTTTCCAGACAGAGAGCTGCTTCTGCAGTGTCAATGAGAGCCAAACCAAGCTTTTGGCACAATTTGGTAGCTCAGCTTCTGATTAGGAAGGCAGGGTTTTTTCCCAGAAAAAAAACCAAAAAGAGCAAGCACACTTTAAAGGCTCTCCCTGTTTAACAGATCCTGGTTTTTAAGGCTAGCCTGAAAATCCAGCAGATTTCAGAGTGCTGATTTTCGGGGTATCTGATTTCTAAGGACAAGGAAGCACACTGACTTTGGGATATTTGATCAGCTGTTTTGAAACAAAGGAAGAGATGGATGTTGAAGGAATGTAGAAACGTGGTAACCTTTTACTGCATTCCAATGAATTGTAGGGTTAAAAGCAAAACAAAAATCGGGAAACTTGCATTTTACAATGACGTGGCATGAAGTAGGATACACGTCTCAATGTTGGCCCCAACGATATAACCAGTAACATCAAAGTTAATCCTAATGAACTTGCCCTGCAAGGAAAAGAAACTTTTTGTAATTACTGATTTTTTTTAATCAAGACAACAATGCTGTTTGTACAAAACCACAATCCTACTTGCATTCATATAAGAAGCACTTCACACAAAGGCAAATGAAATCTTTGCCCTTCAGTGCGCTCAGCCGTCACTTCCATGGTGTACGTTACACTGCACACACACACAGTCTAGAGATTAAAGAATTGGTAAAATTTTCTGAAAGTGAAGCTTTCCGCAATCTGATTTGTCACTTGGCTACAAACATTCCCAACAGGACAACAGACTCTGGCTTGGAGCTGGACCATTTTAACACCACCACCATTGTATTTCAAGCTGGTGCTGGTGAAACTGTTCGGTATTCCCCTGGTTGCAAACATGTGAAGAACCCAATGGAAATAACCCAGTGACTGCACTGGCCTCTCCACTTCCATCACAGACAATTTCTGCGGTCTTGTATCCACATACAAACAGGTTTCAGAGATCAGGGAGCATCACAGCAGTTTGCCTGAACGCTTCTTTTGGCGGTGCCTGCAAAAAGCCACCTACCAATGACTTCTGCAGAGGCCTTCTGAAAGTGCTTTTACAATCGGTATCCGATTTCTGTTTGGCAGATCCATTCAGCTCAGGGGCTGTATTATCAACTGTCAGATTAAATATTCTACTCTACAAGCTTGTAGAACAGACATTCCAGCAATGGCTCCATCTAGTAAGTATTTCTGGGGTATATTGCCATGCTGCAGATCTACACCTTCCCTTGCACTCGGCACTTTGAGGCTGCACCTCAAATCATATGTTCAGTTTTGGGCATTGGGATGCCAGAGCAAGTCCAGAGAAGGGCAACAAAGCTGGTGAAGGGTCTGGAGCACAAGAATTATGAGAAGCGGTTCACACACAAATGATGGGGAGCAGCTGGGGGAGCTGGGGTTGTTTAGTCTGGAGAAGGGGAGACTGAGGGGAGACCTTATCACTCTCTACAACTCCCTGAAAGGAGGTTGTAGCGAGGTGAGAGTCAGTCTCTTCTCCCTGGTAGCAAGTGACAGGACAAGGGGAAATAGCCTCAAGTTGCACCAGGGGAGGTTTACGTTGGATATGAGGAGAAATTTCTTTACTCTAAGGGTTGTCAAGCACTGGAACAGGCTGCCCAGGGAGGTGGTGGAGCCACCATCCCTGGAGGTGTTTAAAAGACAAGGAGATGTCATGCTTAGGAACATGGTCTAGTGGTGCACTTAGTAGTGCTGGGTCAATGGTTGGACTCGATCTAGGAGGTCTTTTCCAACCAAAACCATTCTATGATTCTGTAAGGTGCTGCAATCAGTGCAGTTATTGCAACTTCTTACCAGAACACCCTACCCTTTTCCTCAACTTCCCTAATAAAGCCCATTCATGTCAAAAAGATTTGTGTGCACAAGACTAGCTAGGTTCCTCTCCCCAGCCACACCAGACCTACCAGCCCCATCTTGACCTCATCTCAGAGCAAAGCAACTGCTCCATGACTGCAGTTGTACATCTTCAACTTAAAGTGACTTCTCCAAGTTATGAGAAAACTGGTGAAATACTTTAAATTAGCTTCTGTGGTTACACTCTACTGCTTAATCCACAGTTTGGTTAGAAAGCCAGCGGCACTAAAATGACCGTGTCAAGGAACAAGGCTTGTTTTCATGCATGCCCTGTCAGGGACCAGCACTTGAACTCAGGTTTCTGAGGATGAAGAAACAGCACGCTAAGCTCAGCTTGCAACTGAAGCATTTATAGTTCTTGCTCAGTAATGAACCCAGAAAGCTATATTTATAATTGTCACAAAGAATGAACGGATGTTTTACTGAAATTCAGCCAACAGACTAGATATAACACGCATGTGTCAGCACTAGCATGTCAAGAATGGCAGCTGACAACTCTGTACCCAGTACAGGTACCACAGATCCTTCTGAGAATGACACAGCTTGGATCTGTCATGTTACAGTGGAAACAAACACGAACCATTACATAAGGTCTAGTCAGTGGCTTTTTCTCACGTAATTCAGAACCACTTTACTCTGTTTCACTCTTAAAATTTAACTAATTTCTGCTGTCACGTTACCAGTTTCATGAATAAAAATAATTGAGAGGAAATGCAGTCATTAAACGAGCTGACACATCAGAAGAGGGGACCCAGACACTCCCTGCTTCAAAGTCCAGTTATCACTGAAGTCTGTACTAGAGGGGTCACTTATCTAGTTCATCATCTTAAAAGCAAAATATTAACACATCCTTTTAACTAGCACTGGGCAAATCATGCTATGAAATCTTTATCAGTTAGTGGCTGTAGTGGTAGTCATCTAACAACTGAATTCTGTTTAACACATTTAATCATTACAGAACTCAGTGCACAGCTCTGTACAAACCACATCAGAAGAAGCGTTTAGTTCTGCCATGTGAACCCAACAAGCCCACTCTCCCATCCACTGCAAACTAGAGACTGGAGCTCCTGAAACACAGGAGAAGGCTGCCTTTGGTAGAAGAAAAAAAGAAAAAAAATTGATTTGACAGTAGCCTTATTTCCATCCTGTCTGGTACTACCAACACGTAGAGGACACGCTGGCATCCCTATGCTGTACAGTGCAGACTGTCAAGCCTGTACAGGCTGAACAACAGCACTTCTCACTTTAGGGATGGATATGTATTTTTAAAGTCAGGTTTTAAAATGGTTGTTACTAAAGATTATTTTTTCTGCATGAGATGACACCATCTGGAGTGCATTATCCTTGCTCTTTTATAAAAATAGAGCTGGAGCTATCTGAGCGATTAAGTTCACGATGGCAATGCAGGCTTCAATATAACACAAACCAGATGCTAACATCTTTTAGGAAAAAAAAAAGTATCTTCATTAACTTAGTACAAGCTTTGATGAATTCAAGATGTGTAACAAAGAGTTCTTGTGCAGTGAAACTTGTTGATATTATGAATCCTATACCCAACATATCTAAGCATCAAGCAATGCTGTAAATAATGTGGCTATAAAAGTATCAAAGTTGAGTTTCTACAGTACTCTGCTCTCCCTTTGTGATTGAAAGCACTAAGAGTCTTAGTCATACAGTTTTCCAGGGTCCTTATCACTGGAGCAGAGCTCATACATTATAAATTCAAGGAACTGTTGAAACATCAAGGCAGCCAAGAAATCTTTCATTTGTTCTGTAAATTCTAGTTTCATTCTCACAAGCAAGAAGATTTAATACCTCCTATACAGCTTTAAAGTTGTACTAAAAACATCTTTCCCCTGAAATAGGAGATGCCATCTTTCTTTTTTTTTTTCCTTCAAAGGAAATGAAGTTTTAAGAAGTGGTGAAGAGCCAATCACCCTGAGTTCCAACGCTACTTTTAAAACAATGCAACACATCAAAAGTGGTTATTCTGCCACCGAAACAGCATGTGAGGCAGAAGGTGACAAAACATCAACCAGCCCAAGAGCACCCAACACCTTGAATAAGTCATGTTGTCTTTTTGGCTTTCCTCCAGTAAAGCAGTCAGACAGAAGGGCATGGAAATCAGAGAGGTTTTTATAGGCAAGTTTTGTGTTTTGTTAAAAATTGAGGATGTTGTCTCTAAACCAACCAACTGATAAACTCAGCTATTGAGAAGAAGGCTACATATTTAGCCAAATTCCACGTTTCTGCCATACTCCTTCATACTTTATAGTGGTTCAGCAGTAAATTTGTGCACACAAGGCACAGGTTAGCCCTACAGCATAGTTATATTTGTTATACTATGAACGCCACTGTCAGTTCAAGGATGGTTGAAGTTAGAAACTGGATAAAACTAAAGCAAGTTTGGTCAAGAGCCAGTGAGGATGCATCTTCAGTGACCCCAACACAATACAGAAAGCACTGCAGGAGAACCTGAATTCATGGAGGAAAGAGAACAAAGAAAGCTTCTGACACTAATTAGATCAATCCCTAAGAAGGGAATTTCTCCGTAAACAATAATCCTGTTTCACAGATCCTAAAGAGAAAAGGAGTAACTCACAAAGCGGGAGGAGTTGTCATTTTTCACTGTCTTTGCATTCCCAAAGGATTCCAGAATGGGATTTGCCTGAAGAAGCTGACGCTCCAGCTCCCCCTAAAAACCACACAAACAGAGAAATAGAGAGACATAAGTGCAGTGCACATGATTAAGGGTTCTTCTATTCTGCTTCTTCCTGACAGTCATTTTACCCAGGTTGTGGCAGTGAGGCCACCTTCAGAAGGGGGTAATCACCTTCCCCCCTCACTTCTAAATCCGCTGATAGTCTCCAACATCCAGTGAAGAATGTGCTTTGGGTTTTTTTGGCTGGTTTTTGTTGGTTTGTTTTAAATACATACACATACACACACACACACAGAGCAGTGACCAAATAGGACTTAATGAATGTTAAAAATAATTGAACATCGAAAAGAAAATTCACATTTTGGGCTAATGAAATTCGGCACAGACTTTGAGTGCTTAAGAAGAAAAAGTAATTTAACTCTTTTAAGACATTAGTGCAAGTTTATTCTTAAATTATACCAATTATGTAAATTATGACAATATAGCTACTTTGGAATACCCCTTTTTGAACTTGCTCTCAAATCAGCAGAACACTCACTTTCAAGCAGTCAGACGTTGATATCATTGCGACATCTCTGACCTTCACACACCTGCGAAGGATGCCAGAGCGGCGTAATGGGAACTGGGCAACGCCAAATACAAAGATCATTCTCCAACTGCTCAATTCAGCTAACATTGCTCAGTATGTTTAACGGCGTTTTTTAAAACGTTTCTTGATATTCAAGCCAATGGATGTAGAAACCAAAGTGCTTATCTAGGAAACTGCAAAACAGATGTTACAATTGCTGTCCGTGAGGAGGTCTGGTAACAAAAAAAGTCTGTGCTGCTTCCATGAGCCCAGGAGGCAGGTATGTACATGGGAAAAAACGATACTGCCTTCCTGCTGTGAAGGATGGGTTTAAAACAAAAATAGTGGAGCTGTCTGGAATGTAGCCTCAAAACCTGACGTTTGTATTCATAAACCTGCTTTTTCCAATTATTTATAGCATAGATGAATAAAGCCGCCAGACTGAGCATCAAATAATAGGAAATGTAAGTCTCTTAATGCTTTCACATGAGGCCGGTTCTTACACGGGAATTTTTAAAATTCACAACTTAACACCTGAAAGAGGCTTTTATTTGTATATTGACAAGTATTTCAAGTCCTTCTGGAAACTAATGGCTGCTTGTTCTTTAATGTGACCTCAAGTTTTCTGTGCAAAACTTGTTTACTTCCAAATATATTCCCTTTGGGACTAGATATTCTCTGAATTTTGAGGTAACTAAAGACAACATAAACGTGCGAGACTTAGCCCAGAGCACACTAACACTACTCAGGCCACAGTGCCTGTGCACTATGGGTTAGGCCTGCCAACATTATAGTTATCAAGAGAACTCACTTCTTTTCCTCACTTTTAAATTGGCAAAAAAATCCCAATTGGAAAAAAACTTGACCCCTGTTATAACCACTATATGCTTGCCTGTAAGTTATATTCTAAAAGTTTCCCATGTAAATGCATCAGAGTGGGAAAGCATCCGCTCATGCCCTTCCTCCCGCTCCCCTTTCCCAACCACGCTGACAGCTCCTGCTAAGACACCAAGTACAAAAATGAGAAGCTTGCTTACCACGCTGCACACAGCTTGAAATAAACCACATTACGTATATTAAACGCAGCAAGCATGTCACAGCTTACATTTCAAATTCCAGCTATTCTGGAAAAGAAAAGCACACCAGCTTCAAAATTTGACTCCTCCGCAGACCATACTGTGCCACTCGAAAGCATCACACTGCAGGCACACTCGGTCCATGCTTTACAGTGCTGCCGTGTACCACAGCCTTAATTTGGCTTTGTGTGGAAGAATTCTGCAATGCATCATAAAGGAAGTTTACTCAAATTCTCCAACTGAATGCACTTGTTAGTTCTTAGCAGCTCATTTTGACAATTGTTTCTGTGGATTTGAAGAAAACATTCAGTTGTGTCCTCACGTGTGGGTGACAATCGTGAGAATGAACAGAGTGATCGCAGCCCAGCCAGCCTCTGTGGTTTGCACTCACAAGTAGACTTCTTGTAGCCCCTGCTAAGAAACAGCAAATCTCCCACACTATGCTAAACTGCTTCTGATTGAGTAGTTTTCATTTTCAGATGGACTGCTTTGCAGCCAAAAACCAATGCTTTTGTTCAGAAGTGTTC